TCTTCTGGTTTTGGACATGTTTCTATATCGTTTGTTGTTTTCTGTTCGTCATTTCCAATAATTACGTGTTTTGTTTTGTTTTTAAAGCTTAAGTGAATGTTTGTTGTTTGTTGTTAAGCTTACTGGGTGTCTCCTGGTGAATATGATCAGGAGATAGGCTTCCCTTTTTGCATGTAATGCTTAGCGGGTGTTATTGGCTCTTGTCTCAGTGGTGGAATATTATGGGGTATGCTTATAGCTTAGCTGTATGCCCACGATTGCTGTCTCTTCTTGGATAAGGTTGGGAGAAAAAGCTCCCACCTCCAGGAAAGATGTGTGATCAAAAGGATAAGTAATATAAACACAGATACAAAATATTTAAGGCTAAGTGTCTAGTTGATAATAGCAAGAAAGTGATGACTAGGTGAACAGTAATACTGAGTTCTCTGAGGCAGCCAAGCCAGGCGGGACGTGAGCAGAAATGGAAGCATGTGGGAGGCTGGTCATATTCTATTTCATTTTCTAGGTAGTGACTATCCAGGTGCTTTGCTTTCCAGTAAATCACTGAGCTTTACATGTGTCCTGTGAGATTTTTATATGCATTATAGTTCACAATAAAAAATGAGGTACAGCAACCAATCAAGTGCCGTTTAAGGTTAGTAATCACTTTGGGAATAATAATAAGTTATTGTTGTTATTATGCGCCGTGGAGTAGGTTCCAACTCATAGCGACCCTATGTAGCGTTTCCGAGGCTGTAAATGTTTACGGGAGCAGAAAGCCTCACCTTTCTCTCACAAAACACCTGGGAGTTTCAAACTGCTGACCCTGAGGTTAGCAGCCCAATTTGTAACCACTACGCTACCAGAGCCCCGTGGGAATAATATACAGACATAAAATTGGATTTTCCAAAGGTCTCTATTATTGCGATCTTTTGATTCATTTTGTCTCCCTTAAAATAGAACCTGCAGTACAAGCATTAATAGTTTAACTAGCAATAAATATCTACCTTGAATATTAAGCTTTTTAAAGAACTATCTGTATAGGATCAAACTGACAGCAGCAATTTGAGATTAGACAGGAATCGTAGGGACAGTCAGTCTATATGAAGGAGAGAGGGACAGCCCAGAAAGGTAGGGTGCGGAGAAGAACTCCACAACCCACAGAACGTCATCAGTGTCGCTGAATTATCCTTACTGAAACAGCAGAACTGGAATATACTTTGCTGGGCATATTCTCAACAACAACAAAATATAAGTAAAACACTGCACATTAAGTTCAATGGCAGAAAGAACGAAATGGGAAATTCTAAACATACATTTATATAAATTTTATTTTTGAAACCACACAGTAACGGTCTTTAAATGCTGCATGTTGATTTCCAGATTCTGCCAGGTTTACTTACCTTCAAGTTCTTCCAGATGTGAAAGAGTCCCTTGTGACCTGGGCTGAATGTAGGATAACTTAAACCTGGGCACCACAAATGGCACTTCTTTGCCATCCGACGGTAATTTAGAGAGTAAATAATCCTCCGTGCAGCCCACCTGAGGCTTCCCAGTAACAGACGCCATGGGGGGTATACAGACGGTGGTATTCTGACTACTTGAGATGGCTGTCTTCAAGTCTTTTTCCATGGAAACTGCATATATAGAGAAAAAAAGCAACACACATGTATGGGGATTGATGTGCAACAACGCAAACCCAACAGGTTTAGCGCCTACTGAATCATTTTAGAAAGAAGTCCTGATGAGAGAACTACTCTCGGGTCCTACCAAGCACTCCTGGAATCCTCATTAACCCATCCGCCAATATTCCAGCAGTTAATACAGTACATTAGGTTATCGTAATGCTAAAGCAGTGTTTAAAACGTCACATTCCTAAAAAAGAGTTCATAAATGGACAAGAAGCTTACTTTTAAAATTCATTCCAGAACGCTTTTAAGCAAACCCTAGTCCCTTACAAACACTGTCTACAAAGAAATTCTTCTTGTTAGCACAACCATTTAATGTTAGTTTTAGATACTTTAATAAAGCAGTTCTAAAAAGAAACTAACAGTCTCCAAATCTACAAAAATCCTCCCCAAATCATAAAATATACATGACCCTACATATATATTGGAGTCCTGGGTGTGGCGCTGTGGGTTAATGTGCTGGACTGCAAAGTCAGTTTGATCTGCAAGGTCGACGATTCAAACTCACAAGCTTTTCCGTAGAAACCCTATATAGGGTAGCTGTGGGTCAGAACCAGCTCAAGAGCACCCAACAACAATGACATATATATTATCATAGCAATTCTACTCCAGGACTCTATGAACACCCAGACTTAATCTTCAAGTATATTTACTGTCTGTTGTAGTTGAGTGCCATGGAGTCAGTTCTGACTCATAGCGGCCCTGTATAGGGTTCCCAAGGGGCAGCTGGTGGGTTTCAACTGCTGACTGTGTGGTTTGTAGTCCAGTGCTGACCCTACAGCCCCACACCAGGAGTCCTTACTGTCGACATACTGAGTAAAAGTACAACCACTATTGCATAAAGTTTCATGAAATGTTTTAATACTAAAAAAAAAAAAAAGCTATATAAACCAACTTTAGGAAGCACTGTAATAGACTAAAAAATACAAGAAAGAGACAGAGAAAAATAGAGCCCCTATTACGGGCACCCCTGATGAGATTAGAAAACCATGCAGGAGGAAGGGAAAGTTCTAGGAATCTTTGGTAAGTGTGGGTCTTGATAAAGTTATGGGTCCTTTCTTTGCCCTTCGGTCTTTCATTTGTGAAAGGTAATTTTAAATGCACCGTCCGTAAACTAGAGTCCTACTGTGGCACTGTGGGTTAAAGCTCTGGGCTGAAAAGTTGGTTTGAACCACAAGCTTGGCAGTTCAAACTCAACAGACGCTCCTCAGAAACCCTATACAGGGTCACTAGGGTCAGGATCAACTTGACAGCACTTAGCATCCACAAACCAAAAAAAGTCTCTATGTAAATGGAAATACTGCCCGTCTGGTTTCCTTCAAACACCGAACACCACCTCCCTTCTTTCCCCGCCTTGGTCTGTACTATTCCCTTAGAACACTTCCGACCTTCCTTCTTCCCACTCCACTTTTTAAAATCCTGCTCAGACTTCAACACCAACTTCTATCTATTATGCGGCAATGGCTCAACTAGTCTCCCCAGCTTCCAGGGTATTTGGAAATCAGAACATGACGAAGCATCAAAAAGTCTGTGGGAAAATTCCACTATCTTTTCATTACATTTCTCTACAAACTGTTTGATTAAAAACACATATAAACACAAAGAAGGCATCAAATACATGTTTTTTTGAAGTGAAAGCAAAACAAAACTCACGGTTGTGCTTTTCTGTTCCACCGTAAAAACATCCTCTACAGCAACTCTTGATAAATTCTGCTGCCATTACCTTCAATTTCCAAACCCTAGCAAGAGATACAGCCTTCCAGTGTTAATAATAATCTGTTGATAGAAAACAATTTAAAAATTATTATACTTAATGCCAGTTACTGTTAAGTTTCCAACTCATAGTTACCCTATATAGTGTTTCTAAGAGTGGCTGGTGGCCTTGAGGTTAGCAGTCCAGTGCTTATCCTATAGCACCACACCAGTGTGAATAGATATCACTAAGTAAATCATATGACCTGTCTTTCTAAAACATAATAAGGGCTCTGAAGCAAAATGGTTTCAAAGATTAGTATCGGTTAGTTAGGTGCTGCTGAGTTGGTCCTGACTCACAGCAACCTCGTACAAAACAGACCAAAAAACTGCCGGGCCCAGCACCATCCGCACAATTATCGTTGCATCTGAGCCCATTGTGGTTGCCACCCTTTTCCACTGACTCGCCACAGTATCAAGCATGATGTCCTTCTCCAAGGACTGGTCCCTCCTGACAACATGTCAAAACATAAGAGGTGAAGTTTCACCATCCTGACTTCTAAGGATCATTCTGGCTGTACTTCTTCTAACACATATGTCTTTGTTCTGGCAATACATGGTACTTAAAAGCAGGGATGGCTAGACTTTGTCTCTCGTACTTTAGACATATTGAAAATACCATGGACTGCTAGAAAAAAACGAACCAATTTGTCTTGGAAAGAGTATAGTTAGATGCTCCTTATAAGCGAGGACGACAAAACTTCAGTACCTCGTGCTTTAGATATGTGGTCATGAGGGACCAATCTCCAGAGTAAGACTTCATGCTTGGAAAAGTAGAAGGTCTGTGAAAAAGAGGAAGACTCCTAATGAAATGAACTGACACAGTGGTGACAACAATGGGCTCAAACATAACAATTGTGAGGATGGCACTGCATTGGGCAGTGACTCATTCTATTGTACAGAGTGTCGCTATGAGTCAGCATTGACTAGATAGCGTCTGACCACCTCCCTACTTCCCCTAACTTTTGGATCACTTTAAAGCAGATTCTAATCACATAATTGTATTCATAAATATATCATTTATGTCTAGCTCAAAGTGTCAAACTTTGGGTTAGTTGTTGAACACAAACTTTTTGTACCAAATAGAGTTTTGGGCCTTCCTGTGTTTATATTCTGTAATAACCATACTGCCTTTTCCTTTAGCAACCAGATTTTATTTAGTTACAGTTATGAGGTATTTTAATTTTATCAGAAGTCATGAGATTACATGTCTCTTCGATACAATGGGTTAATAGGGATGGGCAACTTAAGACTTCAGCTATCAAAACAGGGGGGCTATAAAGGCATGAAGTGGCTGGCTTACAAGGTTTCATGAAGGTGCTTAAGTCAGAACAAGGGGAGTAAGACAGAAACCTACTGAATAGTTTTCTTCTTGTCCAGATGGGTCTGGTGGCTGATGAGGGAGATAGGATTCTATGATTCAATTGTGAGTCATTGTTATCAGGACTAATGGTGATCATCCCAACTATGAATGTAGATGCGGTATAACTAAAAATGGGGAGCAGTTAATCTGTCATTTCAGGAACAGAGGACCCTCGGACCATCAAGAGGGAAGTGCCTGAGAGAAAGGAGGAATCCTAACCGGAAAAGTGGCGACAACAGAGATGGTGGCAGAGGCAATGGCATGGAGACACAGAGCAGCAGAGGACTGTAGGCCCATGGACTGAGGCTTGCAAAATGTGTTTTGGTGGGGAGTGGGGGCGCGGATTCTTCGCTGGTTACCTGTGGGAGCGGAATGGGGAGGGTTGGGGGTAGGATGGGGGGGGGGGGCAGGAGGGAGGGTATGGTAGACCACAGGTTAGTGTGTAGATGCATCATAGTGTGGGTATGGGGGAGGGCAATACACAAGAAGGAGGAGGGGGTGGAAGAAGGTAGATAGGGGAACACTGAGACAGGTTTACATGGGCTAAATGGGACAGAGGTAAATAGTAACGTATGCTCAACCTTGGAACAATAGGGCTCTTTGATTGACACAGGGATCGAGGCATAATCTGAAGAGGGGAAATAATGCTAAGATGCTTGACTGTCTTATGAATATTGGTTTCCCTTGCCTACTATTGTAAAATAGACACTTGAGTGGATAGAAAGGAATGTTGGGAAACATGATTACAGAAAGTTGTAAGCCTGTCTTGAGCCTATGACTGGTTGGAATACCTAAAAGGGGTTCTAGAACTTGCCTAGTGAAATAGGCCTCTTGTGGAAACTTTGCAGTGTATAGGACCTTAGGTGGAATCCTGACCCCATCCAGAACCTTCTGAGGTGGGACACTCCCACTAGAAAGGACAAGCATACCAGCCTAGAACAGCTAGAGTAACAGAAGATACATCTTTAAAGAAAGATCATCAGGAAAAACCCAAAACAAAACGGCAGTATGATCAACTGCTGCAAGAACAAACAAGTTGCTCACTGGGGAGCCATCAAGGCAAGCAATCAGGTCCCTTCAGGACAAACCCTCCTCCAAGACTGAAACTCAAAGGAAAACAAGATTAGGAACTAACTCTGAAAAGCCAGATAGAAGTCATATTTATGTTTGACTTTCCATCAGTGTCCTGAAGATTACCTGGCCCATAGTAAGAGCTTGGCAAATATTTGCCAATATGATTCACTGACCAACTGGTCCTTCACATTTCCCAGACTGAGCACATCAATGAAATAAATGTACAAATCCAAATTATTTTTATGTAAATATTGATGCCCTTGTACAGATTTACAGCTATGGAAACCCTCTGGGGCAGTCTGACTCTGTCCTGTATGGTTGCTAGGAGTTGGAATTGATGTTTAAACAGAGGCAACAACAGTTGGTATTGATGTTTAAACAGAGAAACGGAAATTAAACATATTGCTTGATATTTAAAACACAATGTATAAATTGCGGTTTTTATTATTTTTTTAAGTTATAAGCTTCAGAATAAAAAACAGGAAAGAAATGCCTAAAATAAAAATGTGTCCATGTGAAAAGAAAATGAAAAAAAAGGCGAAGATAATATATCTTTAAAAGTGTGTAGCTTTGTCACCGATAAGGGGAAGTGCGGGAAAAACAGCAGTGAAGCTGCAAGCTGAGCCCTACAACGCTCAATAAGACTCCTGTGAACCCGGGTAGAGACCTGGTTGGCCAGCAGGGTGGCAAGACCTGGGGACTGTTGGGCCCAGAGTCAGTGACATAGCCACAGAGGACTAGAGTGGAGAGTGAAGCGTCCAGCTGATAAGAAGAGAGGGCATATGCATAAGAACACCCGTACTTGCAGATAATCCCCACCTGACCTGGCTTCAATGACTGGATGATCAGAGCTCAACTAGAAGAAGAAAGAAGAGGAAAAAAAGAAGAGTAATCTGATACAATTTGATGAACTTGACCTACACCTATGGATACAGTAGCTCAAAAGAGGGAACAAAATCTTTACAGCGAGAATCATTCCCACCCCCCTCCATACACAGAGGAGACAGAGATAGGCAACTTGGACACTGGCTACCCAAAATGAGGGGGCTACAAAGGCAAGAAGTGACTGGCTCAAAAGCTTTCAAGAGGGAGCCTATATCCAGAGGGCATGGAGGACGGTAGAATCTCCACTGAGTAGTATCCAATCTGTCTGAGCGGGGCTGATGAAAGGTAATGCGTATGGGTCTCTTGTGAAACAATAGTGAATAATTGTTATCAGGACTGATTGTGAGGGTTGAAAATGTAAAGGTAGATGTTTTGTAGCAATAGGAGGGGAGTGATTGACTTTGCAGTCTAGGTGTGGAGGTCCCTGGGACCATTAAGGGGGAAGAGTGGAGAGCAGGACCCTACCCAGAGAAGCAGTGACACCAGAGATGGAGGCAGAGATGATGATGACGTGGAGAGATGGAGCGATTGGGGACTCTAGACCTAGAGAGGGAGAGGGGATGTGTGCGGACAACTGGGGGGCATGCTTGTTGGGTATACCCTTTGGTTGGTCGATGATGCATGGAAGGGATTGTAACCATGGAAATGAAACGATATTCGATAGAATGAATGTAAAACTAATGTTCTCCCATATAAACAATCACATAATTCACATAAAACTTTTGGGTTTTTTTTCAGTGTGTAGCAAGAGAACTCAGGAGTTAACTTCCAGGAACTCTTACTGGCTGAAGATGGTTCAATTTGAGCATCAGAACAGAGTATCTCCATTGGGCTGTAACATATCACAATAAATTATCATGAAGTTTACCCTGACCGATAGAGACCCCACTTATATCAGAGTAAAACCAAGTTCCATAGAGTTCACAATAGATGATTTTTCAGAAGTAGATCACCAGGTGTTTCTTCTGAGGTGCCTCTGGGTGGACTTTAGCTTCTGGTCAGAGGTTTTCAGGTAGCAAGTGAGCTTATTAACTGCCTGCACCACCCAGAAACTCCTGTACCAGATCAAATATCTCGAAAAGGTAAGGAGGGTTTTGTTTGTTTGTTTTTACAGGACCACAATAGCATCATCCCATAAGAACACTTAAATATCATCAACTATCCAGTGTTCAAATCTCCACTATGGTCTCAAATCTCCACTATTACAAATAGTGCCACAAGAATTTTCTGCACACAGATTATCAGATATATGTAAGGAGCACTGGTGGCGTTGTAGAATAAGCATCGGACTGCTAACCACTGCTAACTACAAGATCGGAGGTTCAAGTCCAACAGGTGCTCTGCAGGAGAAAGATGAGGCTTTCTGTTCCCATAAAGATTTACAGCCTTAGAAACCCTATACAGAGTAACTCTGAGTCAGAACTGATTGACAGCACCTAACACGGAGTCCTGGTGTGGCGCTATAAGAAACGGACTCAAAGGCTGGTTTGAATCACAAGTTGAGCAGTTCAAACTCAACAGCTGCTCGTTGGAAACCCTACCCAGGGTCGCTAAAAGTCAGAACTAACTCAACGGCACTTAACAACAATATGTATATAAGGAGTCCTGGTAGCATAGTGGATTCTAAGCTGGATTGCTAACTGCAG